TAAGCAGTCAGTTGCAACTTTCACCCTTCTCAACTGCAGGTCTGTTGCTAGGGCGAATGTCTCACAACAAGCATGGGCTTCTAAACATTCAGGACCGACTAGTCCATCAAAGTCTATCACTGAAGCTCCTAGGTATACACCTTTGTCATCACGACAGATGGCTGCACTTGCACCTCTTACATTATTCCTGGAGATTGAAGCATCGACATTAATCTTTGCTACACCAAGACCACTTTTCAACCATCGTTTCGTGTCTCCTCTATGAACTACAGCGGGCTTTTTCTTCTCTTTTGCTGGCATTAACTGAAGATCATCCAAAGATCTTTGAATGAAAGAAAAAATAGATAGGGGACTCTGATATATTTCTTCATGCTTTGCCTGTCTCCTTGCCCACCAAATTTCCCAGAGTGTCACAAGAATCTTCGCAAAAACTTGTTCACTCATTGATTCTTGCATCTCCATAAGCCACAGCCTTGCATCATCGAATTGGCATGCAATCGTATGCTCAACTATGTCCTCATCTACTAGTGCCCAGACACATTTTGACATGCGACAATCAATTAGTGCATGGCGCCAGCTGTCCACTTCGGCATTGCAAAGAAAGCAGGTCTGCGATTCCGCTATATGCCTCTGTTCTAATACTGCACTAGTCGGGACAGAGTTCCGTGCTAATCTCCAAGCAAAATTTTTTATCTTCCCTGGGACATTTGCTTTCCATAATTTCTGTCATTGTTTCTGGTTTGATGCCATATCCGACATACTTCCATGGTGGTATAGCCAATCCTCCCTTCGCCTCTTCGTATCAACCAGCATGCAGTATGCAGACCGTACCGAGAAAATACTTGAACGCTCATAGTGCCATGCCCACCAATCCTCTGAACCAGAAGTGCTCAGCGGAATATTTAACACAGCTTCAGCATCAATGACATTCATGTGCTGGTAAACAACAGCCCGATCCCACTTCCTGGAGGGTACATTAATTAGTTCTGCAACCAAAACCGGAAGAACATCAGAGATTGGGTACAAAGCCCGCATCATATTGTTCCTTGGAATCCAGTTTTGGTTCCACACGTGCGTTGATCCACCATCACCGATCCGTCGTATGAGCCCTTGTTTTAAAACTTCCAAGCCCGCATAAACAGCTCTCCATACTTGTGACGGTTGTGATCCAATTCGTGCATGCAACAAGTCAGAAGATGGGAAATATTTTTCCTTCAAAATTCTAGCACTCAACGAACTAGGTTCCTGGAGTATCCTCCATCCTTGTTTTGCCAACATCGTGAGGTTAAAGAGCTCAGTGTCCCTAAATCCCAGACATAATATACTAGATTAGCCCCCTTAAATTGGACGAGGATCCCCTGCCGTGTGCTAGCCTACCTTTGAGTCACTGACACATGGGTCCCACAGCCCATGGGGCCCACCTGTCAGTGACTCGAAGACAGGGTATGGCGGGGATTTCTAAGTCGAAGGATCCACGTCCCCTCAAATTTATTTAAGACTCATTTAGAGCAACTCCAACGAGGCGACCCATTTCGTCGGCCGTTGTCTGTTTGGGTCGGCGCAGACAGAAAAGTCGGCCCAACGCGCGGACCCAAACGGACGCATGTTCGCTTTTTGTCCGTGGGCGACCCATTCCCGACCCATTTTTAAGCCAAGTTTGCGTCGGCGCGGACACGCAACGGACACGCGCACGCTTGCCCTCTCCTCCCCCCGGGCCCACTGGTCTGTGTCACATCACCCTCACCCATCCAATAACAACTCTCGCCCTCCTCCTCCGTCGCCGCCGCCGCCGCCCATTTTTGCCGGCGACTCTGCCAGCTGCCGGGGCCTCCACATCCGCCCAGCTACGCCGCCCACTCCCACGTCGCCCGCCATCGCCGTCTTGCCGCCGGGAGCTG